GGAGGCCTTATCTATGAATTGCGGGGTGACTCTCTAGTTGACACAACCCCAGTTTCTTCTAGATTACCAATTGGGATGGAGATATATCTTTGAGTATTTCTGATACTAAAAAATTCCTGTTCTTTTAAATCCATAGATTTATTTAAAATACAAAAGCATTTGACTAGGGTATATTTTAAAGAGACAGTCTTAGAGTGTATGTTCAAAATAAATGTACTGAAGTGTAGCATACGTACAGAAACGTGTACAGCCACGTGCAGCTTGATAAATTCTCATGAAAGTCACCCATCCCTGTAGCCAGATCAAGAAAGAGCATGTTACAATCCAGAAACAACCATTCTGTTTGCTCTTTCACAAATGGTGAGCAGTGTCCTAACTTCCAATAGGATTGGATGTAGTTTTGCCGTTTCTGAACTTAATATAAATGGGAATATACCCTATGTGTTTTAGTCTCTGGCTTCTTTCTCAGTATTATCTTCGTGAGAGTGCTCCTGTTGATGCATGTTGCAATTTGTGTTCGTTTTCATTTGGAATTTCCATTGTGTAAACTTCTTAAATTTATCTGTTCTGTTGCTGATAGGCAATGGGATATCTTCCAGTGCGCGACGATGAGTAGTACTGTTATTGTTGGGAGCTACTATGCATAGTACCATTGTGAACACACTTAGGCTTTCATTTGGTAAACACATGAGCACATTTCTGCTAGCGATATAGTGAGGATGGGAACTGCTAGGTCACAGATAATTATCTTCAAAAGAGGAGGCCGGTTTTCCAAAGTGTGTATTAATGAATGAAAGGTCAGTTTTGTCTTTGGATGAGAGTACTCATTTCTTATGAGCACATGAATAAGGTATCTTTGTTTTCTTTTGATAGCAGAAGTAAATTTAAGTAAGAGGATTCAGTGAAATATTTCTATTAAAATAGTTTTTTTTTAAATGTCATTCATTTTAGTGCAGTGCAATAAAGCATGGTTTTACTATTCTATTTGATGAGAACAAGAAACAGTAAGGGGTAACATATTTTGCCTTTACTTCCTAGAATTTGTAGGCTAAGGAGAATTACTTCAGAGTTCTTCCAGGTTCTGCTCATTTAGGCATTCAGATGTCTGGAATTCCTATGGTCTTCCAGAGAATTGAGATAAAGGAATGTGACAACTTGGAATAGAATGCAGAATGCCCACCCTTCTCATCCATGCTCTAGCCCAGTGACTGAGTCAGTCTTCCAAGAGGACTCAATCAGATTTGAGGGGAAGATTTCATATAGCGTTCATGTTTCAGGAAAACCTTTGCATTTTCACTTCTCAAGTCTTAATAACGAAAGGAGACTTTACCCTTAAGAGACAAAAATACCAACTAGATATATCATTTGGAATTCCTGTCTCTCAAATTAAAACAAGCTTCCCCTACCTCTAGCCCTGTGTTCTGTTCCTTTGGCGTTTCATATAACAATAAAGAGAAGTGTGCAATCATATACTCCTGACACTAGTAAAATAAATAAGGTCATTCCAGCACATGGTATCTTAATATGATTAGAGAAACCCCAGAGCCTCAGTTTTGTTCTTGCTGCTACTAAGATTCCTCCATTGTGCTGAACAAAAATGATGTGACATATTTTAATGACTTTGCTAAAAGCAATGAATGCCCAATTTTAACTCCAGATCTAGGTTCAGACCTCAACTTAGCACTTTTTCCCCCCATTTTTTAAATAATATAATAGTTTGATTTACATCATTTTGTGCCTTTTTTTTTTTAAAGATTTATTTATTTGTGCATACAGAACTGGGGTACAGGCCAGAGGCTCAGGGGCGGTGAGAGGCTTCACCAGAGACAGAGTGGGGAACAGAACAGGCAGATCAACGAAGTACACTGCTGAGGGGAGCAGCGGGCGGGTCAGGAGAGGTCTGCCACGCCATGTGGTCTCCTCCGGGGCAGGCGGGAATCGAACTCATGTGGAAGTGGCTTTAGTTTCTCAGTGCTGTGCTTTAACCCGCTGCGCCACCAGGGAGGGCCATTTTGTGCCTTTTTCCATCTCAGCTATAATCCCCATGGACTTCCCATCACCAAATCACCCATGTGCCATCACCATAATCCAGTTCCCCCCACCTCCATTTTTTATCCCATTCCCCACTCCGCCCCCATATAATATCTCTGGTATATAACTGTTCATTATTATCCCACCCCTACCCCGGTCCTTTATACTCCTGCTATGAGTGAAACCATCGGGATTTTTCCTTTTCTTTCTGACTTATTTCACTAAGCATGATCCTTTCCAGCTCCATCCATGTTGCTGCAAAAGGCATGTATTTATTATTTTTGGTTGCTGGTAATATCCATTGTGTATATGTACCACATCTTTTTAATCCAGTCATCCACTTTGGGGCATTTGGGTTGATTCCATGTCTTTCCTATTGTAAATAAAGCAGCAATAAACATGGGGGTGCAGGTGTCTTTATGAATCAGTATTTTTGTGTCTTTTGTGTAGATACCTAGGAGTGGGATTGCTGGGTCATATAGAAGTTCCATTTTTAGCAGTTTGAGGAACCACCAAACAGTTTTCCATAGTAGTTATACCAATTTGCATTCCCACCAGCAGTGTAGGAGAGTTCCTTTTCTCTACATCCTCACCAACATTTGTCATTGCTAATTTTTTTAAGATGTGCCAATCTCACTGGTATGAGGTGGTATCTCATTATGGTTTTTAATTTGCATCTCCCTTATTACATCAACTTAGCACTTTTATCTTCTATTTATGATCCAACTTCTGAGCCATCATTTTTAAATCTGTAAAATGTAGTTTCATATTTCTACCCTGCCTACCTACCACATAGGGTTGTTATGGGGATAAAATATGATACTTGATGTGATATTACAAATGATACAAGTCCTAAGCCTTTGTGAACTGAGCATAGCAGGTCCTGCATTTTCAGATGATTACTTCCATTGCCTTGGAGCAAGAGTGGAAACTCACTCTGTGCCTTGAGATCTTGTGCATACACATAAGCCTGAACATGTTGCCTTGCACCAGAGGCAACTGACCTATTGAGTCATGAAGTACTTGTTTAGATTCTACTGGCCTCTAACATTCCTCCCCTACAGGACTAAGAGGGGCAAAAATTCTTTGCTTTCTTGATAGCGCAACTCGCATCTTCCCAAGTCCTCTTTTACTTTTGGGGTGGTTAAAGGATTGTATAAAGTTAGGTTATCTTTAGAAACAACACAACTCATGCCTAAAACTTCTTCTTGCTTTACTTGTATTTGTTACATGTAGTGAATACAGAAATGGTTTTGAGCCATAAAAAGACTGCATAAGCATATTAGCAGTTGCAGTTAACAATTGTTAAGATAATAAAAGAGTAGACTGGAAGCAAAATGCCTTGCAAACACTTGGCCAGAAATTCAGGTTCTGCCCAGAAGTAACCTTATGGGGATGTGCCTTCCACTATGGGACTTACACTACATCAATTGGAGTAACACTTTTGGAAGCAAAACGAGAACTTGACCACATTCATGATGATCTGGAGACACTGCATTGTTATTTTTTAATCAAAGGGTACTCGGAGATTAAAATGGCAACTAGTTTTCAACTTTGAAACTGAAGACATTTTTTTCTTATAAAGATTAGATGAGATACATGCATGAAGTATGTGTGATAGGTAGGACCTATAACAAAATTATGATACTTAAATAGTAAGAAAATAGACGTGACATGCTTAGAATAGTGTTTTCCTCATAGTAGATATTCAACAGCTAGTAGCCAACATCATGATCATTATCATCATTCCTAGAAATCTGTGATTGGCAATCAATTTTTAGGAAAGAAATGGAAAAGAGACCTATGTTGAGTTTTGATGAGTGGTGCATTGAATCATTGTCATTCATACTTAACAACTTTGCAGACTCCATCCTATTCTATCTCAATCCTTCCCAAATTTGTTTGCTTTTTTCCCTTTTGCTCTCAGTACCCCCTTTCCTCTCAAGCCAGCCCTTTGATCTTCCTCCATTTGTAGAGCACTTGATGAACTTGGCACCTATGTTCCTCACCACAGCCATGTTCAGGTGTGGTACACCCTCTGGGGAACTGTCCCAGATGCTGACAAACCCTTGGCAGTAGGATAGAAAAGAAAAGGGGAAATTTGGACTGAAACACCAGATCTAACTCCTCACTCATCTGTAGAGTTCCAGAGATACTTTAAAGTTTTAAGATAAATAAAGAAGTTGCACCTTCTTGGGGGGTGAGGGAGGAACTCTAACAGGCATATATCTTGGATCCATTCTCTCTTGTGCTTGCTCACTGATGATAGTGTTTGGTAACATCGTAAGTCTGCAGAGTTGTTTTTGACTGTCAGCAATGTATGTGGAGGCGTCAGTACTAGTTAGGCAGAGAGCAGTGGAAGAATGTATGTGCTGTGCGCTGCAATTTGGACTAATGTCTTGGCTTGGCTGTCATATTTTCTGGCATGTAAAAACTGGATATTCTCTTAAGGCCACACGTATTTGGCAAACCCTATTATGTTTCTCTCCCAAGGGGATGCTCCTTTAACGAAGGTGATAGATAATGTTAGTTAGGTACTGGTTGGACAGAGACATTGAGAGACTATGGAAAGAATCCCTTCTAAACAGCTTTATTACATTAGATTTTAGTGTCTGTAAACAATTACAGCATTCAGGGAGTGCAGGGTTTAAATGAGAAACACAACTTTGTCAGACTATACCAGTCGGATAAAATCGCATGGGCTCCGGAAATCTATAATTAAATGTATTTTTGAAAATGAAAAATATAGCGTAACATCTGGTTTATTTCACTACAGAAGTGCCTGACTATTGCTTATATAAGCGCTATTGACTTTGGCTGATATTTGGATTTGTCTGTATAAAACAACTGTATTTTAATTAAATTTTTTCTGCCTGATTCTATTTGTGTTGTAAGCAAATTATTCACTCTCACACACACAATGACTGTCTTAGAAAGTCTAATGTTTGTTCATTTTCTCTTCCTTGCAGAGGATATTCAATTCCTTTGTTTACACTGAGAAAATCTCAAATGGAGAAAGTGAAGTACAGCAGGTAAGAAGTTATTTAGCATTTGACATTCTCTGTCTTTGTCTCACTTTTGAATGTGGCTTTGTTCCAATCTCCATGTCAGGTTTTCTGTTGTTCTTTATATATGAATTCATCCTAAGCATAATGGTGACAAACTCACACTTTATTCTCCTAATCAGTTAAAATAATGGTTGCATGGAGAGACATTTTATGGGGGTGAAAAGAGGATTGCGGTAAAAACTGGGTGGGAGGAGCACATGGGACTATGGTGATGGCACACAGATGAACTGGTGGTGAGAATTCCATGGGGATTACAACCAAGATGAAAAAATGCACAAAATGAAGAATGATGTAAAAAATTAAATAAATAAAAATTATTATAAAAAATAATGGTTACATGGATAGTTTTCTGCAATCCATGCTGTGCTTTAGAGATATTATCTAATTTAGTTGTTTTGAAAATCTGTACTCAGATTTTTAAATAGTAGAAATTATTTCATCTGATGTAGGAAAAATTACCCAGATACCTGTGTAATCAGACAAAACCCAGGTCAAATTCTGACCTTCTTACTTACTCTTAACCCTAAAAGCTAGTTAGTCATGTTGAATAACAGTTTCCCAGTCTTAAGTAAGGAGAACATAATTATCTGCTTTATGGGCTTGTGAACTAAATGAAGTAATGTCAAATTCACTGTGAATCAGTGAAATCCTTTATGTAGAAGGTTCTGGCACAGAAGCGGCCCAGTAGACATTGACTGCTTTGCTCTTGTATTTTTCTTTGCACGTCATGTATTCTCCCTTCAATCTTGTTTCAGTGTTCTGTGGAGTTAAAAAGTTTGGTGGCCAGATTATATTTACGTTATTTATAGCTGACTTCAAATGGACTGCTTCCTAAATTAAAACATAGTGTTGGTGAACTTGGTCCTAAATAATTGATCTGTGCTTCAAAAGAAAGGTGGTAAAGAGTACTCTAGGTTTTAATTTCAGTTAATCCACCAACTTCATTACACCATGTGACTATCAACTGGTAACTTGAAGCTGGGTTTGAAATTTAAGTAAAAAACAGGACCAAGCTGTAACTGGGTTTCCACAGAATAAAGAGATAACTATAAATGAACCAATCTTACTTCAATAGGGAAAGATCTTAAAAAGTGAAAACTACTAAAACATAATAATTTAAATTCTCTACGTTGATGCCTTCATTTTATTCATGACTTGATCTGAACTTCAGAAATACTCTACAAGAGCTTTACACATATCATTAGTTTGAAGTTATTTATGGGATAGTTTATTTACAATAAAATACTGTGGTTTAATTTCGAAGTGCAGCATTTCCTGTTTATAGTCATTACACATTTTTATTGGTTTCTGCAGGTTAAATTTAGAGAACATACACAGTTTAGTTATGTACTTTTATTCTTAGCTTTAGGTATTTTTAAAAAACTAATGACCTGAAATTATAGTGAATATGATGTGGTTTGTTGAATCAAATCTGGTCTTCTAATTCCTGTCTTAGTTTCATGCCAGCAAAATGGAAAGTGCTTTAGGATTAGGAAATTTAAATGGACTTTTTATAAGGAGATTTCTACACAAACCATGTTCAAGGAAACTTGGGGAGACCAAAGGGCAAATGATAACATTTTAAGGAAACTTAGGGATATCAGTTTTGCCACTTTCCTTGAAGTAACAAATACAAGTTCTCCCTTCATCTGCTTTCAAATGTGACTCTTTTTTTTTGGACTGATGGCATTACCTTTTACTTATATCTGTAAACAAGTATGGAAGCCTTGAAATAATTTTTGTTTCATTATAGCAACTGAGTAAGCACTTAGGGAATACTAGTTACTAGGCAGTGCATTATCAAATAGATTTTTCCAGTCTTGTTGGAAAGATACTATCTTTACTATGAATAAGAAAATAAAGCTCTGAGATAAGTTTCCAGTAGTCTAAGAGAGCTCATTTTCAAAATGTTTGACAAAAGTTGTTATCTCTACTTTTTTTAATATAATAGTTTATTTTTACATCATTTCCTGCATTTTTTCTTCTCAGTTGTAATCCTTGTGGGGCTCCCATCACCAAATCACCCTGTGCCATCACCACAGTCCAGTGCATTACCCTCCCCCCACTGTTTTTGATCCCATTCCTCACTCCACCCCCACAAAATGTCTCTGGTATATAGCTGTTCATTATTATTTTCTCGCCTGGTCCGTTATACTCCTGCTATGAGTGAAACCATCGGTATTTTTCCTTTTCTTTCTGGCTTATTAAGCATGATCTCCTCCAGCTCCATCCATGTTGCTGCAAAAGACATGTGTTTATTTATTTTTTTGGTTGCTGAGTAATATTCCATTGTGTATAAGTACCATATCTTTTTAATCCAGTCATCCACTTTTGGGCATTTGGGCTGTTTTCATGTCTGTCCAGTTGTAAATAAGGCAGCATTAAACATGGGGGTGCAGGTATCTTTTGAATCAGTGTTTTTGTGTCTTTTGGGTAGATACCTAGGAGTGGGATTGCTGGGTCATATGGAAGCTCCATGTTAAGCAGTTTGAGGAAAATAACAGTTTTCCATAGTGGTTGTACTAGTTTTCATTCCCACCAGCAGTGCAGAAGAGTTCCTTTTTCTCCACATCCTTGCCAACATTTGTTGTTGCTAGTTTTAAGATGTTCCATTCTCACTGGGGTGAGCTGGTATCTCATTGTGGTTTTAATTTGCATCCCCCTTATTACAAATGATGGTGACATTTTTTTCATATACTTGTTTGCCATCAGCATTTCCTCTTTGAAGAAGTGTCTCTTTAGCTCTCCTGCCCATTTTTTGATGGGGTTGTTTATTTTTGTTGAGTTTCATCAGTTCTTTGTATATCTTTGTGATCAATCCTTTATCACTCATTCTGTGTGAGAAAATTTTTTCCCAATCAATGGGATGTCTGTTTGTCTTTGTAATGTCTCTTTTGCTGTACAGAAGCTCTTTAACTTGATATAGTCCCATCTATTTATCCTTGCCTTCACTATCATTGCATTGGGTGCTCTATCTTTAAAGATGTCACTGAAGTTATCTATACTTTTAAGTTACTTTTAAAATTTATACTTTCATCCAAATCAGAAGTTTCTGTAAACTTTTTACTGATTCCAGTAAAAGAGAATTAACACATACTTAGTTCTGTGTCTCCTTCCTCAGATTGTCATAAAGTTCTCTATTACACTGATGTAGAATATACTTATTTAACTCCAGTCTTTTCACTCTGCCCTCTGGAATAACCCTGAATGAACAGACCTTATTCATAGACCTTTCTTGCATTCAGTATTTGGAAACAATTGTGTTAGCCAAAATTTTAAAATACCCAGATCCTAAGTAATTTCTCCTCATATGATATTGCTATCCAAACCCTATCAATCCTGTGTTTCTGCTACCCACAATAATAAAAGTTTACATTTGCATCTATATTGGCTACTTTGCTATCACTTCATAATTATGATACTTCTTGTGGGTTGAATTACACAGGACCTACTACCTGTAACTCTTCATTATATGCTATGAAACTGGAGAGTCTTGATATTTTCTTGACTTATTAATTACTGCCCTGAAACTCGGGACTTTATGATCCTTCACAGTACCCAGGGTAAAATCGTTAGGGAAATACTAACCTCCTGTGTAACTTATAAATGTCTATATCACATTCACTCGTAGTTTCAGCCACATTCTCTCCTTTGAACTTCGGAATAACCCCATAAAGATAGGTGGAGTTATAATCATTAAGTTCAAAAAGTATTTATGTTAATAAGTAACCAAGTTGGCTTTCTAATAAATTGCAGTTTTTCAAACATGTAAAGAGTGTATAAAAACATATCTATAGAATAAAGAAACAGTTTAAAATGAACATCTCAAACTGTTATCCATAAATAAATAAGGCATTACCAGTATTTAAGAGGTCTTTGTCCTTTAGAGGGAATGTCCCTTCCTCTTCCAGAACTAACCCTATTCTGATTTTGTATTAGCTCTCTCTGTGTGAGTGCCCACACATATTTCCAAATGCCCTAGGTGGGGAGAAGGTAATATATATATATATTTTTTATTTTGCAAAAGTTTATTTTTACATCATTTTGTACATTTTTTTCCCCATCTCAATTGTAATCCCCGTGGGTTTCCCATAACTAAGTCACCCATGTGCCATCACCATAATCCTGTGCATTGCCCCCCCCCGTTTTTGATCCCATTCCCCACTCCACCCCCGCAAAATGTCTCTGGTATATGGTTGTTCATTATTTTTGTTATTTTCTTGCCTAGTCCATTATACTCCTGCTATGAGTGAAACCATCCAGTATTTTTCTTTTCTTTCTGGCTTATCTCACTAAGTATGATCTTTTCCAGCTCCATCCAAGTTGCTGCAAAAGACATGTGTTTCTCTTTTTTGGTTGCTGAGTAATATTCCATTGTATATATGTACCACATCTTTTTTATGCAGTCATCTACTTTTGGGCATTTGGGTTGCTTCCATGTTTTTCCAATTGTAAATAAAGCAGCAATAAACATGGGGGTGCAGGTATCTTTTTCATTCAGTGTTTTTGTGTCTTTTGGGTAGATACCTAGGAGTGGGATTGCTGGGTCGTAGGGAAGCTCCATGTTTAGCAGTTTGACGAACCTCCAAACAGTTTTCCATAGTGGTTGTACTAGTTTGTATTCCCACCAGCAGTGCAGGAGAGTTCCTTTTTCTCCACATCCTCGCCAACATTTGTTGTTGCTAGTTGTTTGAAGATGTGCCATTCTCACTGGGGTGAGGTGGTATCTCATTATGGTTTTAATTTGCATCTCCCTTATTACGAGTGATGTTGAACATTTTTTCATATGTCTGTTGGCCATCTGCATTTCCTCTTTGAAGAAGTGTCTTTTTAGTTCTGGGAGAAGGTAATATTTCGGACAGGTGAGAGTCCCTTCAGTAATATAGAATTTTTGGATACCAGAATGTGCAACACGGCAGAATGCCTTTTTCACAGTTTGTTCTAAGTTACCTTCCTACAGACTG